AACCCCTACACAGTACTCATCTTACCCTTTCTGAGCCTTTTTGTCTCTTTTACATCTGTGAATCACTCTTGTATTCCTCCTCCCGAATTCTTCTCACTTTGATGTTTCTCCTACCCTCTGTGAAGCTTGAAGTCAACTAAAAAGCTAATGATAACTATCAAAACGCCTGCCATTTGTTATAAATATAAATTATTATTATTTTCATCTGCCTGACCTCTTTATCAGACAACATGATTATCATCCTTCAATAGAGACAGACAATTGTTCCTTCAGAAATGACTTTTCCTCAGCGATAACAGAGGAAATTTAAACAGGGTCTTTAAGTTTAATGCCTCTACTAATTTCAATTAGCATTGGTTAGCATTGTCTTGTATTAAACATTGGATGATGTCATCTAATGTCATGGCCAGTCTCTTAAATAAATCAAACTGCTAGTGGACTCTGAGCATGAAGGATAATGAACCCACCTAGGAACTTAAAACCGAGGCGTTGAAATCGTAACTATAACAAATTTTTCACATGTAATATAATTTTAAATGTCTGTTCTTCAAACTAAGTGGAATTTCATTCTTGTCTAATATTTCATTCTAAGGCCTATTATACCAGTCTTTTGTCAGTCAAGATTTAGTCAATGGGCTTGGACATTAATACCGTTGCATAACATTATTGAGGACTAAGCCCACGATCTTTAGAGTCGGCTGCTATTCCACAATTATGAATGTCAAAATTTCCCCGGATGTTAGCGACGGTGAAATTTACGGTTAATTTCAGGAAGTGGGTAGAACAAGCTATAAATTTAATTACAAACTTCCATTTGAACACTTATCTTTTAGGAAATTGTTCCAACAGAAATCTTTGTCAAGTTGATTCCTTCTGTATATGTGCCAAACAACTTCCATTGTCTGTTAATGTCAACCGATTTGCTGTGATCCTTTTTTTCAGATTGAAAATGCACAAATTCACAGAAAATGAAAGGACTTCATTTATGTTGCATAAACAAATGATTGCTTCAATCAACTCACACACAAAAAATGCAGACAACTTTTAGTTGATTAGTTAACCAAACAGACTGTTAAGAGGGCGCATCCTTTTACTTCATTTTCACAGTCCTCGCATTTCTTTTTTTTCTGGAAAAAGAAATTTCCAAAATTCAATCATTTGGCACATTTACTTTGTTTAGTTAAAGCAATGTTTTACTGAACGAAATATTGACAATGACTCATTAAAATAAAACCACCACTATTTTTGTCACCAACTCACATTCTTTTTCTTCCGCGGAGGGACAATCTGAAATTCGGGATAAAAGTACATTAATTAAAGTTCATATTCAAAGATAAAGGATGGTTTTATCTTATTTTATATAAATCTCATTTTATGGATATGCAAGCATGGGAGCTTGATATTTCCTGGTTTATCCCAATGCGTAATATTCCTTAATATATCCAGTAACTGGAGTTGTAACACGTGTCAATGGGAAATGGTTCCTGTGCCTAAAAGGTCTAAGATTTGCAATTCTTAGAAACTTGATATTTTACTATGAGAAGATAGGTATTATCTAACAGCATCCTAATATAAATAAAAAAACGTGCAAGATCTGTACCAATACCTTAAGAGCGAGATAAATGGCTCAAAACCCAAATTTGCTCAAAATATCGATTGATATCAGTTTTCTCTTACTTCCTGGCGGTATAGCAGGTTAGTAATCTGACTTCCAAAGATTTGTTAGAAAAACCGGAGTAGAAAACTTTGGTAAATCGGGTAATTGTTATTAAAAATAAAAGTTGATAATTCTTGTCATAATTTATTTTGCCCCAAATATTTATTCATCTCATTCAGATCCCGGCCCAAGTTATTAGAGAAGGGAGAGATTTATGGTGGCGAAAAAAGGACTACTGCAATAGCAGATACGCACACTCTAGAATCAAGTATGCGAAAGTAGAGAGGTTGTGCCCGGAGGGCAGTATTGGGAATCGCAGGAGGCAGCGGTGTTGGCCCAGCCTGGCACAAGTATACGCTTTTATGCACACAACAAAATGCACACTCACCTTCTTAAGTCGATCCATGGCGTTTTGTAGAAAGTTCAGAACTGGTCCCTAAAAAGGGCATTAAGACGAATTATGCACGCATTTTTCGCCATCCAGCTACCCTACAGCATAATAAAACGCCTCTATTTAATTTTATCGTGTTAAAGCCTACAATCTGCAACTTACTCTGTCAGCTTCGCGTTCTGCTGCTTCCTAAATTATAGAAAGAGAGAAGAAATAGAATTAATTTTTCTACTGGTCTTGATCGATTATCGATAATCCAACATTCATAGGGTTTTCGCTTAAAATATCGATCAAATATCGTTATTCTTACTTGGTCTTAGGTCTTAAGTTTTGTGTCTTTGGTTTGTGAAATTTAAGTCCTTTAAAAGTTCACTCTTAGCCATTTTTTTTGCCAGTTGTCACTGCCCGCCAGTTTACTTTCCTAGAGTGAATAAGATTTTTGACTGATTCTATTGACATGTGTAACCCTTCCTTTTCACGTTCAGTCTACGAGTTTTAGACAACTGAGTTTTAGCTTTGCGAATTCCCTTTTCGAAGGGATAAAAGTAGCCCTATTTTTCTGTTTTCTCTTTTTTTGTTCCGTGAAAAAGGGTGTGTATTTACTTTGCTCTAAGAGATTCTGTTTTTGTTCTACCTCGCAGGTTTGGGTGCTCCATTGATTTTAAAAGGTTCGCAAGACTTTTTAACTACTGATAATAAATTATAGAGAGTTATATAATCAATTGCAGGTTCGATATTGCAGTGTTGGTTTAAATATAGCAAGCAATGTGATAGTCATCTCTTTACCGGTAATACTATGAATATGAGTTTGAGAATTATTTAGAACACAAAAAGTCCAGTATCTCTGTTTTTAGGGAGATTCAAAGCATAAAAGAGCTGGAAAATTCCTTACCGGGAAATTAAATATTTATGTCCAAAAAATAGTTTTAAGCGGCTCATTTAACTCCTATAAAAGTCAATTGAACAGGTATACGTACGTGTTATGAACCAATAAAATCTTGAATGAAACCTATGAACGGTGATTCGTAACTATTTAATTACTAATATAGATAAATCAAAAATTTTAAAATGCATCAAATCAATATTGAGAATGGAATGGAATAAGCAGTCAGAACTGATAATTTGAGAGTAAAGATCTTTTTTTACATTTAGGTAAGATGGTGTTGTAATATACAATAGAAAAAGTGGTCAGCTTCAAACTTAAGGCCAAACATTATCAATCATTAGGGAAAAGTAAATAATCTGATTAGAAACAGGCAAAAAGGCATTCAAAAATAATCAGCAAATAGTTCTTTTGTTCAAGTTCAAGAACAAAAGATAATCACTACTTTAATTGACCGATCTTCCCCGTGTTCAGTTTTTTTTTAATTTATTTCCGGGAAAAACTAGAAGTACGGTTTTTTTATATTAAAGTAATGAAAGTTTTAACAATTTTTATATCTAAGCCCAGTGGTGATTAGAACAAAGTAAACTCATCACCATTAAATTATGAATAAATATCATTGTTAGATTTTAATGGTACCTCTATTAACTTCAAAATCTATTCATAGATATTGTCAGGTCCATAAAAAACTTTTTCTCAATAATTATCTCAAAACTCAATCCCACTTCCATGTTATGTTGGTGTTTAAATTTTAAGTACTTGAATAAAGTACCATTTTTTCATAGCTGTCTAATTTACTTAAATAGACCAATGTTTGCCTGAGCATTAGCCTCAAAACAAAAGAAGACTATGGTATTGTTAAGTAAATAAAAGTGATTATTTTGAGAATGGAATATTTTATATGCAATTTCGACAGGAATTTATTTCAGTTCTGAAACTTCAAACGAGACAGTAATAAGTTAAAAGCGCTGTTAGGGCCGTAAAATTTTATGGAGCAAGAGCTGTTACGCATGAACTACAAGATAAATGACTTTTAAGGACTGAAATTTTAAATCGATACGATTCCCCAAAGAGATGATTAGACAACAACAATATTTGCAACATGCCTTGTAATGTGTCCAATAGGCTGTTTTAAATTTTGTTTTAGTATTTAACAAGAAGCATAATCTTAATAAACAACTGCAAGCAAGCATGGAATTCAGTTTAAATTATAAGTACTTTACAAAAATAAGAAATATTTCTCAAATTTAATTTAGAACTAATTCAATCTTACCCACTCCTCTTGAGTAATTGACGGATCAATCATCTTGAACAATTAAGTAACACAAAATGGTCTTCGGTTCTGGATTATGAGCTTAAAACTACTTGAAAACTCACATGCAAACCCTAGTCACTTGGTAATTAGACCATTGCAACATGACTGGAGTAATGATGTTTTTCATTTTTAAGATCTTGTGAAGTAATTAGTTCGTGGTCTTATTATTGTCAGATGGTGATCATATCGCTTTAAGGAATTGTATAAAAGCTCATCATCGAACGCAGATGTTTTCGTTTACAAAGTGACAAAGAAACTTGCTTGAATATCAGTTCCTTGTATAAAACATATGATTCATTCTCTCATCTAAACTCATTCAGAGTAAGTAATATGGGTCATGGTACTTTCGATCTCACGGCAATATGGTAGTGAATAAAGAGGCATTCTAACTTGTTTAATAGTAACCAAGCGCCAATTGTTGGAGTTTACTAAATTTTATGTTGGTAAAATTTTCTATAGATCTTCTAGTACCACCTATCTCCTTAAAAACTGTTGTTAGATACAAATAATTCAGAAGTATGACCGGCCCACAGGCTTTGAGCATCGCTAGCAAAAATTCGGCCGGATACTCAAAGATATAATCTGGAAATTTTGAACCATAGCATACGGACAGAACAGGGCTAAAGTGATTTTAATGGGAAAGGGCTTCTCTTCAACGTTCCTAATATTTTTATTTCATTTCATTCTCTTATTTAACCCCCCCCCCCTCCATGCCATAATGAACAGTATTTCATATTTTTTCTATCTCATAATTATTTTTTTACGCTTTTCTTACTGCTGATAAGTAATAATAGTAGTTTAGACACAACAAAAATATACTTAGTTTGCTACCAATTATGCCAGGCAGCCACTCTTCGCATTACGATCGGCTGTGTTAATTTAGCAATCTCTGAATGTGCTTCTAAGTATATATCTAATTTGTCATGTAACGTTTTTTGCCTTTATATTGACGTTTATTGTCTGCACTTTGAAAGCTTTTTTCCACGCTGTGATTTTGACTTCCGTCTAGTTATTGCCAAAGGTATATCTTTGTAAATAGTCATCATAAATTATTTAGTGAGTGAAATAAATCGCGGATAGTCACCAATGGAGTAGAGTTAAAGTTTACAAAGTCAATCAATGGTATTAACTCCGAGAAGGTTAGTATTTTTGAATAAAAAGTATTCATTTTTCAAAACACGAGGAAAACAAAAGCACTTTTGTCTGGTCACTGAAGTGAGAAGTGGTCGTTAGAGTGATGCATGACGCAGACAAGAGAGTCGTGTGTATTTCAACAGTCTGGTGGAAGGCAGATAGATCTGTTCAAAGCTCCAAACAATTCATGTACTAATTACTCACTGCGCTATCTTTGCCCTTCCCCAAAAATGTCTGGGAGCTATAAATATGTCCTGGCTTTTTATTGTATTTGAAAACAAAATATATTTTTAGCTTCCGAATTGTGTATAAGTGTTAACTGATGACTTTGTATTATGACAGCGGCTGAAACTTTGTTGAAAAGGAATTTGATAACTTCCATTCATGTTGATATTACTGTTATGCTTAAATTTGAGCAAATTTCTGCAGCGAAATTTAGTGCCTGGAGTTGATGGATAAAATCAGCAGAGAACATTGATCAAAAAAATGATTAAAGCCTATGGCGTCATCTACAACTACCTTCCAGGTTAAATGTTCAAGAGAAATTCAATAAGTGGTCATGTGATGTAATAGAAAGTGCACGGAGACCTCGAATTCGAATGCGTCAAAATTACTTCATCATTGATATTGTGAAAAGATTTGGACAAACTTGTCAAAATCAAATAGCACTGTTGTTGTCTTCGACAGTAGTCCTTGGGAGTGTCTACAGAGACAGGCTCTTCTCTTCAACTGCTTATTTTCGCAAAGACTTTTTCATCATTAACACCAAGCTTGAATACAGGCAGTAGAGCTTATTATTGCTCCATTAATAATTACTAATTATTTTGGCCCATATTTTCCGCGCTCAAAAAAATTTTATCTTTACGACTTTACGACATGGTTGTTGCACTATTACCCTTTTTGTTTAGTTCTAATGGTACTTCTTATAAATACAAGTTAAGGAAGGCTAAATGACGCATTCCAGAGGGAAGCGTAAGTGGACTCATGCTTATTCGATAATTTTAGTAAATGATCGATTGGGTGCCACCAAAAGCAAAAATTTTACCCTCGCTCATTACATTGTAAATGGAAAATTTAAAACTAAAAACTTACTTCGCTGTTAGGATATACTTAGGATGCCAAGTAAACATGAGTAAGCACAAACGAGTGAATATTTCCGTTTGGCCTGTTTAAATGCTCGTGTGGCTAAAGGGGAGAAAACAAAAGTTGAGTGGGAGTCAAAATTGGAATATCCAACATAAATTTCAGAATCTTGTCTAAATTAAGTAGTGTTTTGAATTTTAGCAACTACAATTAAAACACTACACTGTTAAGCGAGTTAATTTATTTTAATTATAAAATCATATTAAGCATTGTCTATGTTCAATAACTTAAACAATTGATAACGTAAAAGTGGTTGAACTGAAGTAAATGAGTCAAGTTAAGAATTTCGCATTTTTTTAAACTAACTAAATAACAAATCCGTTAAACGCACTACTTACCTTGGAAACGAAGTACCATTAAATATGTATTGATTAAGTGCAAAAAGAATATTCTATAAGAATAAGGAAAAATTAGTCTCTTTCCCTCTTCGATGTCTACTTCAAAATTGATTCTGAGCATTAAGCTGGACAAAATTTTTTCTTTAAAATTACTAATAATTCCTTGAGCACATAATTCCAAAAGTGTAAAAGTACAAACAATTTCTCACCTCACTGGCTTAGGTCATCTGCGATTGTTATTTTTTGAGGATAATAAGTAACAGTTTATTTTCGTAATCTTTTTGTCATGATATTTTATATTTCCATCAAAAAAAGACCTTTTTAGCTTCATCTAATATATGAAGTCATTTCAATAAAGACTGAATAGAACATAAATGGAATCAATACTTTTAGCATTAACTTCATTAATATTTCTCAGTTCAGCATAGTGAGTATTTAATCAAATAGAGATTCTTCGGAAAAATTGAATACAATAATTGCATTTAAATTTTCGATTTGAAAACAAACTTGTCGTTTCTGGGTCCCATTTACGAGATTTTCAAGAGATCAGAAAATTATTTATTATTTTTGCGTAAACAACTCTTGTCTCTTGCACCAACATGTAACGTAATCAATTGTCAAAACCTAAATTATTTATCTCAATTAGGGTTTGTTTATAGTTACAAAGAAGACATGCTGACTTAACCACTAATTAATCCACAAAGGGCATAAAATCAAGCGGTTTTATTGAAATACAAAGTCTCAATGGGGGTGGGGCGAATATCAGTGCGCGAAAACTCGTAAGAGAAGAGAGAAGGTAAGAGTAGACAGCAGGGGAAAGAAATAAAATTAACAGAAGAAAACGGTAGAAGGAGATGGATAGAAGGTTAGCACGCACTCATTTTATCAGAGAGTGTAGGGGGTGGTTGATATTTTTCGAAGATAGAGCAAAAAATATTGCATTTTTGTACACAAACATACAAACAAAATTCATATAGGGAGACAGACCACACACAAACAATTGAACACATACTCAAGCGCAGTCAAACTTTTCATAGCACATTTTTATATGAAATTCATTTATTCTTGGTCAGCCTCTTCTTGGGGTTGGCTTTGTTCACCATCCTTATGTTCTGAAATTTGCGCAAAAGACTCCATTAAGTGATATAATATATAGTGGGGAAAAGGGGTATAGTTTGCAATTGCTCGAAAACTCACCTTCAGGTGTTGCTTCAGTTTTGGATGCTGTGTCTTCCTCCTCTTTGTCGTTAGCCTTCTCTTCCTTCCCATTTGCTGCGGCTTCGGATTTTGCCTACATATATGTACCGAAATTAAATAAATCCAAGTTGAAGGCAAACCTTCTTAGCTCCCTTCGTGGAAAATTTCTACAAAAATAATTAATAAGTGCGGTTATTGCTCGTGTCCATGTGTAAAACAATGGATTTCATTTTTTCTTTCAGTTTCAAACTTACAACATGGCTGGCCAAGTTCTTCATCCATTCCTTAATTGCATTGCCCTTCTTCTAAAATATTGGTAATTTAGCGTTTCATTTTAAGTTCATAATTGTAAAATGAGTTTACTTAAATTAACCAACCTTGCTATTCTCGCCGTTAGTATGGACTTCGGCCTAAAATTCAAAGAAGTATTTGGTAATAGTGTCGACTATATCCTACTGAGGATAATTAAAATAACCTATGTCAATTAACTGACCGGTTTTTCCTCTGTGACACCATCAGCGGCAATTGGCTCTGCAGTGGGAGTTTCGACTTCAGGGGTACTCTTTAAATTTCACATTAAAGGGGCATTAAAGCATAAACATGAGAAAGGAAGGAAAGCTTAAGTGGGTATACTTACTTCGGGAGCTTTGTTCTCAACATCGGTCATTTTTGTGGGGTGAGAGGAGCACTGTAAATCCAAACACGCTGGTGAATTTTGGCAAGCACACCGGTGGCCCAGGACTTATATCTGAACGGGGTATGGTACTCCTATTGGCTACTTGAGGATTACATGATTGACCAATCCTAAGACGGCGTGTCATATTTATGACGCAAAGTTTGGTGTACGGTGCTGTCGTGTGTGCGCGTGGCATACGTTAAACCCGGTGGGAGGGGTGAGTTGAGAAAGTTGAGGCGATGTGTGAAAGGGGGTGAGGGGTGGTAGAGGAAGGTGACGGTTAGGCCATGTGGAGAGTGAGGGGGGAGGGAGAGACGGACGTCGTGCGCACATACACACACATACATGTTGCATGTCCCTTATTGTTTACTTGCGTGATGACTTCAGAGAGAAATCAGAGGGACGTACTCCTAATAGACAGCCAATAAAGCCGTCCTGGAATATACGTTTGCAGACAGTATATCTGGGTTTCGAAGTCAATATTTGATGATTTGAAAAAAAGTACAAATATAATTCAATGGCTTGTTGTATACGAATTTTGCGACATGTAACGAAGAGCAAGCTCATATTTATGAGGACTACTAAGACGACAGAGGGTCAACCAAAATCATCAATGAGTAGTACATTGCTTTGTGTTCAACAAATGAATTTTCGTTTACGTCTTTAATGCCCCGTCCGAATTTATCTGATGACTAACTAGCAGAAATCATTAATAATACGATTGTAAATATTATACTGCTTGCTTGGTTCACATCGATGATGACTTTGACAATAGAACACAAACCATTTTTGCTCTCATGCACTACAAGGAGATAGAGAGCTCTTCAGCCCAATATGTCCACTCTTCCTTCTTTGAATTTCGACATTTACTTCTGAAAGTTATGCTCATAGAAAATCGTTCTCCTCATATGTCAAACTTTACTTTAAATTCAATTGATATCGCCTTGCATCAAAATTTAAACACACCAATATGTATCTAAATAACTATACTTAGACTTCGAATAAAGTAACCAAGCCCATGAATACTTTATTTGCACTGGTTGTTTATTCAAAGTGTGCATACAGTTGTTCCAAATTGAAATATTCTAGAAAATGTCTAGTTATCGACAAATAGTTAAATCTGAAAACCGATGGGCTATTGTAATAGTGCATGCGCAGTTTGAAGCAAAAACCACCATAAACTGCAATAAAATTGACTGAGATCAAGAAATAAAAAATCAAATGAAAGTGCATTTATTTGCGTTACTTAATTCAAATGATAAATAAAGAAATAAATCGACTTTTATTAAGAGAGAAATTAATCATATTCATCTGGTAAAAATAGCTATTACAATTAATGGGAGCGATTTTGTTAATGTTACTCAATAAATAGCTGGTATTAGGCCTATAACTTACAATTTCTCTGTTGATTTATAACTTCACATTCCACCCATTTATGATACACTAGAATTTATTGGTACCTCTTAAAATATAATCATTTCGAGTTAAGAGGTAGCGTATTTTTAATGGACGCGTTATCTGGCAATCTGTCTAATTTTCAGAAATAACTTCTCATGTTTTCATGAAATGTCAAATACAAACTTTCAGCTAAAGTGGTAGAAGTTTTGGCAAAATTATTTAGTCAGTGTAGGAGTTTTACGCAAATTTAACACTGGAGCCAATTACTAAATTGGTTGAATAAGCTGCGGCAAATCCTACAATATGACAGAAATGAATTTGCGTTTGATAAACAACTGATAAATTGGACAAAATCCCAAAAATGAATCAGAACAAAATACACATTCATAATATTGATCAATTCTTAGTATGCGTACTTTAAATATGCAAATCAAATTAATTCGTACAAATGAATGGTCATTAAATAACAAGTCAACAACAGCACTTACTGGAACGAAGTATAGCCATGCAATGGATGGATACTTTTTTCTACGTATCAGCACTAAGAAGTACTCTACAACTTCGACAAATTCTTGAGAGCTGTGTTGGTTGAATGACTTCGAAAGCTTCATTAAAGATTAACTGACATACCCAAATACTGAATTTAATCAATCGGCCAATAACCTTGCCATACCGTGGGCATTAGGTCATTTTGAAACTCTGAAGCCAACTCATGAAAAATGAGATGCGAAGCATTCGAATAACACTATGAGAATTTAACTCCATTTGAATAATTACAATCCTAATTTTTGACTACCCGGTTTCAAATATAGTACTCCGTGATTTGAGGAGGGATTTCGGTCTTTTACCAATAAAAAGTGCTTGGTTATTGTTATAGAAAATCATAGTAAGAAGGGAGCTTTGGAAAATTAGGTGAAACTAGATTCATATTTGATCTACTTAACCTCCTAAACTTTGGTTAAAATATAAGCAGCAAAAAATCATTTGGATTTTTTTTCAGTTGATGAAATTAAAAACAGTTCCCACAATACTTTAGATATAATTCCACCGCTGTTCATCAGTCCCTTTAAGGGACACTATTTCTTGCCGTAATTTCACTCTAGAATAATTGCTCAAGGATGCTTTGTTTTCTAGCCACTTTAGTTTAAATTGACCTTGAAAGTGAATAAAAATTAGTCTGAATACGACTATTTCAGATGACTTTTTAATGTACTATAAACTTTGGCTTATGTTTATGCAATTGGCACAAAACGAATAGTGGTAGTGCATTTTTGGAAATATAATTGATTTTAACAAAAATTAGTGTTTCAATTATAAATTTATCGAGGTAGTAGGAAACTAGAAGGAAATTTCTAATACAGTGCATTAAAATGCCTTTATAGGCTCTAATAATCCGACGGTGTCTGAGAACGCCAAAATCCAAAAGTGGCAATAGACATTCAGTGGTCCACCTTCTTATACGAGGTACACCTTGCTTCTTACTCTCTGAACAATCTATTGACCTCAATACTCTGTTCATTTAAAGGAATGCTTGTTTATGCCTCACTGACTCATGGGTGTGTTTATACTGTCAAACCAGGCAGATATGTCTGGCAGACACTTTAAATAGAACAAACTCTCTCTCTCTCCCTCTCTCACTCTCCAGTTCATTCAAGGTAAACTCTATTTATAACTCTAATTTTTATTGCTTCAGTGAACGCTCATCCATTTTAGTCTGCAGTAGCATAGATATCAAAAATCGAAACTGCCTACCTATCGGCGGAATGGGATAAACGCCATAAACGGCACAAATTTGAAAACGAATCGATGATGTCCATTTCTAGATGTGCATAGCATTTGGTAAGTAGAAGTTTGAAAAAAATTGTTTCGTGCACAATTCAACTTTGTCTACTTCAATTTGAATATGTTTAGATCTTTTTCATGACAAAGTAATTAAATTTCCTCTTAGCGCATAGCACTAACTTTCAGCTTTTGCCAAGTAGTTGTTAAGTTAAATAGAATATTAATTTGATTGGCGAAATTTAAATTAATTAGTCACACTATTATATTGGTTAAATTAGTCACTCTAAAAAATGACCATATATGGTTTCAAGGTTTAAATAATTTTTATTCATAAACTCATATGAGCAATTAGAACTGACTCAACACACCTTTAATATTCACCCACTTAGTAATTAAGTAGGAATTGAAACAAATTTATTTACTTCTTGCCTTTCGTCTTTCCAGACATATATGAGTTAAGAATGGAAAAGTAGCCTCCAATACAATATTAGCTAAGAAGTTGGTGACAGTACCATGGGGGAGGGGGGG